AATGTGTACATTTAAGAAAAAGATCAAAGCTGAATTGTTAAAAAAGTATATATGAAGTAGCTTAGTGTGTGTTTTGTATTAGAATTAGAAAAATTAGAAAGTTATTCATTTTGTTCTGTTACTTGAAAATTATTGTGATTGAAATAATTGTTTGAAAAAAGGGGCAGATATAATAAGATTTTTTTCTTCTTTCTGCTGCCTTTCATTTGAAATCTTTTGTATCTTTTTTTATATTGTTATGGAATTGTTTTGTACTTTTTTTAAATGAATAAACTTTATACCATACCATACCATACCATACTGGACAGGTGGCGTCATGTCAATTGTACAAGTACTTAGATCAAATTTGGTGTGGTAGTAGCTGAAGGTCTTCCTTAACATATACTTAGGACTCTGACAGATTACACCAGGGCTTGCCACCCCCAAACCCCAAAGGTTTGACAAAAATAACTGCAACTCCATAATTTCTCAACACAAGAATACTCTAGTCTAAAATTACTGTAGGAAAGGCAGCAAGCGATACGCATTCATATACATTTTGCAGTACTGTGCTGTAGGGTTTGGCGATATGGACCAAAAATTAATATCTCAATTTTTTTTTTTAGATAAATCGCAATATACATTAAAGCTGCAAGCAGTATTGAAGGCCCTCGCAGCAAAGTGGCACTCTAGCTTTATGGCGACTGCGGGAGCTCCAGCGACTCCGCCCAGTCGCCATCGCGAACACTATCGCTCCCGTCCCGCGCCCGTTCACTGGGGTGCTCATTCGTCGAACCTTCGACATCACCCACGACCACTCCATCAACGCCTCCCAGTCGCCATCGCGAACGCTCTCATGCCATTCCCGCACGCGTCCACCAGGGTGCGCATATGCCTAAACTTTGCAATTGCCTTCTGCCCATATCAGTATGAGGGAGCGCACTTGAGTCATATGTTAAATCACAATATCAATGTGTTTAGACTTGTTCACCAATTAGACACAAAAAATCTGGTTCCGATCGGATGATGCATTATTGAGATATAACTGTTGGAATAATGTAGGGGGCACACTTCAGTCAAATGTTAAAGAACAATACCATTGTGTTTGTAAGTGCTCACTGATCACGTACAATAATCTGGTACATATTGGATGATATTTCACTGAGATATAACTGTTGGAATAATCTAGGGGGCGCACTGGTGTCAAACACTAATGTGTCTAGAAGTGCTCACTAATGACGTACAAAAAAAATTTTGCAGATCGGATGATATATCACAAAGATATAACATTTAGAATAATCTAGGGGGCGCTCAGGAGTTAAATGTTAAACAACAATACCAATGTGTGTAGAATGGTTCACTGATCACGCACAATAAATCTGGTACAGATTGGACAATATATAACTGAGATATTACTGTTGGTATAATATAGGGGTCGCAATGGTGTTAAATTTTAAAGAATACCAATGTGTCTAGAAGTGCTAACTGATCATCCACAATAAATCTGGTACATATTGGATGATATTTCACGGAGATATAACTGTTGGAATAATCTAGGATTCGTACTGGAGTCAAAATTTAAAAAAACAATACTAATCTGTCTAGAAGTGCTCACTAATGACGCACCAAAAATCTGGTGCAGATCGGATGGTATATCACTGAGATATAACTGATTAAATAATCTAGGGGGTACACTTGAGTCATATGCTAAACCACAACATCAATGTGTATAGATGTGTTCACCGATTATGCACCAAAAATCTGGTTCAGATCGGATGATGTATCACTGAGATATAACTGTTAGAACAATCTAGAGGGCGCACTTGAGTCAAATGTTAAAGAACAATACCAATGTGTCTGCTAGTGCTCACTGATCAGGCACAATAAATCTGTTACATATTGGATGATGTATCCTTGAGATATAACTGTTGGAATAATCTAGGGGGCGCACTAGAGTCATATGTTAAACAACAATATCAATGTGTCTAGAAGTGCTCACTGATCACGCACAATAAATCTGGTGCAGATCGGATGACGTATCACTGAGCTATAACTGTAGGAATAATGTAGGTTGCACTATGGAGGCTATTGGCCACTTATCTTGGATACCTGTTCAAGGGGTGGATAATGATCGATCATAGTGATTTTGGTGCACCTCGGCTGAAATCTGTGTATTTCAGAGCCAAACGTATTGCAACTGCATCACTTCTTGATTCGCCACGCCCACATCCTCAAGCAAAAACGGTTTGCACTTTAAATCAAGTCAGACTACCTTATCTGTCTTCTAACGTAGGATCATCCTGATTAGGTCAATGGTGTCAAAGAGGGAGCATTCCAAGTAAAAAAAAGAGACTTCCTGTTCCGAGGGGACGGGGCTTTGATGACGTCAAAATATGACAACAGTGGATCGTTGGTTATCCAACAGAGATGAGTCATGCCAAGTTTGGTGCATTTCGTTCTTTCAGTGTGAAAGTTATAGCATTTGGAAATTTATGGCGTGAAGCACAACTTTGAGGGCTGGCCACGCCCCTTTAACGAAAACAAAAATGCAAGCTTTTGATAACTTTTACTCCCCAATGTGTTAAGGGCATATTAACCAAGTTTGAAGGCAATCACTCAAAATCCCTAGGAGGATTTTGTTAAAATTCGCCATTAGAAACGCACAAAAATGACCCTTTGACCCAAAATGGCCGACTTCTTGTTGGTTTTGGACCAGGACTCCAAGAAACTTTTTCATAGGTCCTGAGACGATACAGATGTTCACCGATTTTCAGAATTATCGGTCAATAAATGGCTTGGGGCTGAGGTTTTAAAATATTCTAGGGGGCGCTGTGGAGGCTATTGGCCAATTATCATGGCTTCCTGTTCAAGGGGTGGATAATGATCGATCATACTGATTTTGGTGCACCTCGGTGCAAATCTATGGAATTTAGGGCAAAACGTATGGCGAATGTATTACGTCTTACTTCACCACATTGCGACACCCACATGCTCCACCCCAAACTGTCAGTGTTAGAAAGCAAGGTACACCAACATGTCTTCGGTCACTGGACACACTATCATGCTGATCAGGTGACGGGTAAGATAGGGATCGTTCAAGGTAAAACTTTACACTTCCTGTTGTCAGGGGGCGTGGCTTAAGTGATGTCATCATTTGACCATTCAGACTTGCAGGGGACCGGATGTGGATCAATTACTGAAGGTTTGATGTCTCCAACAGTTTCCATGTAGGAGCTATTAGCGTTTTGTTTTTCATGGCGAAACATCAAACTTTGAGGTCTGGCCCCGCCCCTTCTTCATGCTTCGGTTTGCACCGTTTTGATAACTTTTCGTCCCCCATGCCTTTTGACCAAAATGGCCAAGTTTGAAACCAATTGAGTGAAATCCCTAGGAGGAGTTTGTTCAAATGCGTAGGCTGTAAACAGCCAAAAAGGTGTGAAAATTGGGCCGACATTCCAAAATGGCCACCTTCCTGTTTATCGTACAACGTTGGACCCTCTGTGCATCTTGAGGTATTGGACAAGTGTACCAAATTTCATGTTTCTACGACAAACTAAGGTTAATGCGGAGGGTATTTTGAAAATTTCCAGGTGGTGCTCTTAAACCGTTTCTGTTTCAATTTTTTCCACTCCCTTAAAATACGTAATTTTTCCACCAGTCCTGATGCGTCCGCCAAATTTGGTGACTTTTGGCATATTTTAAGGCCCCCAAAACGCCATTTCATTTGATGGAAAAAATTGCAGCTCAGGCCTGAACAGGGCGATTACAATAGGCCTTCGCAGCGCTTCGCTGCTCAGGCCTAAATATATATCTCGATATTCAAACATCTGCTAAGTTTATGACAAAAACCAATGCTGACATGTTCCTGTTTTTAGTACAAACCGGATTCCAAAAAAGTTGGGACACTAAACAAATTGTGAATAAAAACTGAATGCAATGATGTGGAGATGGCAAATGTCAATATTTTATTCATAATATAACATAGATGACGCATCAAAAGTTTAATCTGAGTAAATATAACATTTTAAAGGAAAAATATGTTGATTCAAAATTTCACAGTGTCAACAAATCCCAAAAATGTTGGGACAAGTAGCAATAAGTGGCTGGAAAAAGGAAATTGAGCATATAACGAACAGTTGGAAGACCAATTAACACTAATTAGGTCAATTGACATGATTGGGTATAAAAAGAAACAAAGAAGGCCCAAGACGATTGAACAGTTAGAGGCCTGTATTAGACATGAATGGGAGAGCATTCCTATTTCTAAACTTTAGAAACTGGTCTCCTCTGTCCCCAGACATCTGTTGAGTGTTGTAAGAAGAAGGGGGGGGGGGGGGATGCCACACAGTGGTAAAAATGGACTTGTCCCAACATTTTTGGGATTTGTTGACACCATGAAATTTGGAAACAACAGATTTTTCCCTTAAAATGATATATTCTCTCAGTTTAAACTTTTGATCTGTGATTTCTGTTCTATTCTGAATAAAATATTAGATGTTGGCACCTCCACATCATTGCATTCAGTTTTTATTCACAATTTGTTTAGTGTCCCAACTTTTTTGGAATCCAGTTTGTATTTTACATTGCATTGTAATGTAGCTGTTTTTGTTTAGTTTTTAATATAATTTTCTTCCGTTTATCTTTTTCAATTTATATGCTTTCTTTTGATTGTCTACTGTTGTCATCATTCTTTGTAATAAACAGGTCTTTTTTGTAAATGAGTCTCTGAGGCTCAATGAGACTAACCTGTAGAAATAAAAGTTGAATGAATTCCTTCAACACATACTAGGCCTTTAATCAATTATCAGTATCTTTTATTCCTGTTTTTATCAAAGACGTGACAGCCAAGTTGCTAACATGACCAAAAATACTCAGTTTATACCCAAAGAAATTGTTTAATTTAGAGGTTTAATATAATCATCTGATGCAGTTGTTGTGTTTTTGCACATTTTTCTCCTTCATAACATTTGTGCAATGAACGAATGTTTCTAATACAATTTTCTTTGTTCTTTCTCTTTCAGACAACGATGCGTAATGTTTTGTGTAACAGAGCTGCTGGCAGTCATCTGACGTCTTCCCACAACACTTAATGTTGACAGAAGGATCTATGCATGAAGTGTGGCTGCCTCACATTTCAATGTGTCAGGCTGGGCTGCATGATGTAGACCTAGACTGTACTGACCATCAGCGCCTGGAACTCGTTCTAAACAGTGTTTACTCAGACCTGTCTCATTGTCAGATCTATGTTTTATATAGTCAAAGTTAATTTCAAGCTTCTGTAAATATGTCATCAAATGAGTGACATCTATGTTTCAGCATTCAAGTGGAAGGTTCAGTTGGACTAAGATCCAGTGCTCTCAGGTGTTCTCTTTCTATGCTATGCTCAAACACAGCAGCAAAACTCAGTCCAGGTCAGCCTGAACATAAATGTACCAGAATAAACTCAAGAACCAGCTGAACCTCCTTTTCTTACTAGAGTTTCCCACAAACCAAAAGGAAAATATTGCCTTGTTTATTTTTCACATTTCTTACACTTTGAGTTGATGCAAATATAATGAATGTTCTTATGAGTGAAGCTGTTTGCCACTGAGGTACAACACTGGCTGTTGTGATGTGCGAGTCGGCTCAGATTCTAAGTGTCAATTATAGAATTTGTGATTTAGAAGGTACTAATGTATGTTTGGTTCCACATTTTTGACTTCTAAATGTTTTTATCTAATAAACACTTTTTTCAAGAACTTGAAGACTTGTTACTTATCAGGCTTGGGCACAAACTTGTCAAGGTTATCTATCTAAAGTATGTTTTGATGTCAATGTCAATTTATTTATATAACATAAAAACGACAACAGCTGACCAAAGTGCTTTATAGTTAAGACGGATAAAAAGAGTAACAAATGCATCTAGTGCCATTCAAAAACATAAGAAAGTAAATGCACCACAACAATAAAATCAGCTCAAAATTTGTTCTCAGACTCTGTGTGGATCGAATGCCAAGGAATACAAATGAGTCTTCAGCAAAGATTTAAAAGTCTCAACAGTCTGAGCGGTCTTTAAATTCTCTGGTAAACTTCCATAATTTTGGAGCAGCAACCGCAAAAGCCCGATCACCTCTGGATTTCAGTTTGAATCTGGGAACATCTAAGAGGAACTGGTTGGTAGACCAGAGTGCTCTTACTGGGATGTAGATGTTAATAAGATCACATAAATAAGACGAGGACCGGCCCTTTTAAGACTTTAAAAACAAGCAATAAAATCTTAAAATCAATCCGGAAGTGGACAGGAAGCCAGAGGAGAGAAGCCAGGACAGGGGTTATGTGTTCATATTTTTTGTTGCTGTTAAAAGAAGAGCTGCTGCATTCTGGACAGATTGTAAGTGATGCAAAGATGATTTGTCTAAACCAACATACAATGAGTTACAGTAGTCCAAATGAGAGGTAATAAAAGCGTGAATCACCTTTTCAAGGTCTCTAAAAGGGAGACAAGACTTCACCTTGGCAATAAGTCTTAGCTGGAAGAAACTGGATTTCACAACTGCATTTATCTGTTGGTCTAATTTAAAAGCACTATCAAAAATAACTCCCAGATTCCTGACATTGCAGTGCCTGTATGAAGCCAGGGGTCAAGAGTGTTAGATTTACCAAAGCTGAGGAGTTCTGTTTTATTTTAATTTAAATTCAGAAAATTTAGTTTTAACCATACTTTAATGTCGTTTAGACAGTTCACGAGTGGACCTGACCCTTTCTGACTCAATCGGAAGATATAACAGTATCATCAGCAAAGCAGTGAAAAGGGATGTTGTGTTTTCTAAAAATGGACCCCAAAGGCAACATGTAGAGATTAAAAAGCAGTGGACCTAAAATAGACCCTTGAGGGACCCCACAGATCAGAGGAGCTGGAGATGAAGAATATTCTAAATGAACAGAAAAACTGTCAGCCAGGTAGGATCTAAACCAGGATAAAACTGCCTTTGATATCGACCACTTGCTCAAGTCATGACAAGATGTGGTCCACAGTATCAAAGGCAGCAGAAAGGTCTAAAAGCACTAAAACAGCAGAGCTTCCTGCATCAACGGTTAAAAGAAGGTCATTAAAAACTCTTAAAAGTGCTGTCTCTGTGCTGTGGCCTGATTTAAAACTTGACTGGAATTTTTCACCAATGCTGTTGGCAGTTAAAAACCTTTTAAGTTGGTTCAAAACAACTTTCTCTAAAATTTTTGACAAAAAAGGTAATTTAGAAATAAGTCATTATTTTAAGAGCAGCGTTGTGTCGAAGTTTTTCTTCTTTATAAGAGGCTGCACCACAGCATGTTTAAAAGTAGCTGGAACACAGCCTGATGACAGGGGCATGTTAATCACGACAAGAACTAATGGGCCAAGAGTGTTAAAAACTTCCTTAAACAGACGAGAGGGAACACTGTCCAAAGGTGAATTAGAAGGCTGCATGTGATCCACAATGTCCTTTAAAACAGCTGAAGTCACAGGCTCATACTGTTCAAAGGCAGCTGAGGATGGAGGAAGTAAGGAGGGGTCTGTGTAAATTTGTTTTGAGGAGGGTCTCAGAGCAGAGAATTTATCAATAAAAAAATACTTGGAAAACTGTTCGCACAGTGCAGGAGATTCAGCAACATGACCAGCATCACAAGGATTCACAACAGAGTTAAAAACATTAAAAAGAACCTGAGGTCTGTGACTGTTTGAAACCACGTTAGATAAAAAAGCAGTCTTAGCAGCTTTAACAGCTCTCTGATGATTTGACAGGCTGTCTTTAAAGATGTCCAGGGAAACCTGCAGTCTGTCCTTACTCCATTTCCTCTCAGCTCATCTGCACTAGCATCTGAGCGCGTGGGTGGATTTGCTCATCCACAGCTGACATGACTTCCTCTTTTTGATTTTTAGAGGAGCAACAGAGTTCAGAATGTCAGTGCACGTAGAACTAAAAAGATCAGTAAACTCGTCCACGTTGGACACAGACCAGAACTGAGGGTTGCAGGAGACAGAGTCATTAAAGCTGGTGGAGAAGTGCAGCGTGGTGTTTGAATTAATTGCGCGTGCAGAACGCACAGATGGTCCAGCGCATTCCTTCCTACCAGAGACCACCGCAGTGAACAGAACCGGTAGATGATCTGATAAAAAAGCTCCACAGATTTCCACAATTGACACATTTATCCCATAAGACAGCACAAGATCCTGTGTGTGTCCTTTTTCATGAGTTGCACCTGTGACAGACTGCGTGAGATTAAAGGAGTCAATAGTGTTCAGAAAATCTCTGATCAGAGGTCCAGCCTCACAGCAGACGTGTATGTTAAAATCACCAATTATCGAAACACGATCATAGCGTAGCATAAGTCTCGTCATAAAATCAGTAAAATCTTTAATAAAATCCGTGCTGTGTTTAGGTGGCCAGTAGATTGTGGCGCAGAGTAAAAGAGGAGAGAAGTTTATCTCCACCATCTGAAGCTCAAAACTCTGGTAGAAATGAGTGGGGATCAGCCGGCAGTTAAAACTGGATTTAAAAATGAAAAACAGAGGCTAATTCACGTCCTTTACATGTGGTCCGAGGAGAGCTAAAGAAAGCGCATTCAGGAGGGAGAAGTTCAGAAAATGGCGCCAACTCATCAACATGAAGCCAAGTTTCTGTCAAAAATGGTAAATGGACTGTACTTATATAGCGCCTTTCTATCTTATTTCAAGATACTCAAAGCGCTTTACACTACAATCTGTGTCCTCATTTACCCATTCATGCAGCACTCTGCTAGATCTCTACATAGCCATCCATCCATCCATTTTCTTCTGCTTATCTGGGGTTGGGTCGTGGGGGTAGCAGCCTAAGTACGGAGGCCCAGACTTCCCTCTCCCCAGCCACTTGGGCCAGCTCTTCAGGGGGAATCCCGAGGCGTTCCCAGGCCAGCCGAGAAACATAGTCCCTCCAGCGTGTCCTGGGTCTTCCTCTGGGCCTCCTTCCGGTGGGACATGTCCGGAACACCTCACCAGGGAGGCGTCCAGAAGGCATCCTAAACAGATGCCCAAGCCACCTCAACTGGCTCCTCTTGACGTGGAGAAGCAGTGGCTCTACTCTGAGTCCCTTCCAGATGATTGAGCTTCACACCCGGTCTCTAAGGGAGAGCCCAGACACCCTGCGGAGAAAACTCATTTTGGCCGCTTGTATCCGAGATCTCATTCTTTCGGTCACAACCCAAAGCTCGTGACCATAGATGAGGGTAGGAACGTAGATCGATCGGTAAATTGAGAGCTTCGCCTTTTGACTCAGTTCTCTCTTCACCACGACAGACCTGTACAGCGCCTGCTTCACTGCAGACGCTGCACCTATCCGCATATCGATGTCACGTTCCATTTTTCCCTCATTCGTGAACAAGACCCCAAGATACTTGAACTCCTCCACTTGGAGTAGGACCTCCTCCCTGACCCGGAGAGGGCACTCTACCCTTTTCCGGCTCAAGACCATGGCCTCGGATTTGGAGGAACTGATCTTCATCCCGGCCGCGTCGCACTCGGCTGCGAACCGCTCCAGCGAAAGCTGTAGATCACGATCTGATGAAGCCAATAAGACCACATCATCTGCAAAAGCAGAGACGCAATCCTAAGGCCACCAAAACGGATCCCCTCAACACCTTGGCTGCACCTAGAAATTCTGTCCATAAAAGTTATGAACAGAATCGGTGACAAAGGGCAACCTTGGCGGAGTCCAACTCTCACCGGGAACAAGCCCGACTTACTGCCAGCGATGCGGACCAGGCTCTGACACCGGTCATACAGGGACCTAACAGCCCGTATCAAAGGGCCCGGTACCCCATACTCCCAGAGTACCCCCCACAGGGTCCCCCGAGGGACGCGGTCGAACGCCTTCTCCAAGTCCACAAAACACATGTAGACCGGTTGGGCAAACTCCCACGCACCCTCTCTCTACATAGCTAATTGAATAAATCATTCTAAAGAGACTAATCAGTGCTTTAGATCACATTCATACACTGATGGGACACACATCAGATGCTATGAGGGGTTCAGTGTCTTGCCCATGGACACTTCAGCATGTGACTGCTGGTGGATTCAAACCCCCAACTCTCGCATTGGAGGACGACTGTTCTAACCACTCAGCCACAGACGCCCCAACATAAAAACAGAAAATCCATATTTTTAGCGGTAAAAAAGTCATTCAGAATAAAAGTCTTATTGGTTAGGGACCTCACATTCAGCAAGGCTACCCGGAGAGTCTGATCCTTGCTGTCCGCAGCAGGTGCGCAGGCCAGCTGGCGAAGATTTTTGAAGTTTATTGTGCCACATTTAGAAATCCTTTCCT